CAGAGATGTGTATAAGAGACAGCTATTAGGTTTTTCTTAACAAATAAAGGATGATACCACTTATATTGATTTACAGCGTTTTCCACCTCAGTATTTGACTTATATTTTTTTCCCCCAAGAAATTTTTTCAAATTTGGAAACAGGAAAAAGTCGCTTAGAGCTAGATCTGGCGAGTAGGGTGGGTGCGGACGCAATTCAAACTTCAATTCGTTCAATTTTGACACTCGCGCGACATGTCCATCTGTGTGCGCTTTTGGTCGATCGTCAACAAGCGTGGCACCCAGCGCGCGGATAATTTTCTCATATCCAATTCTTGATGTAAAATCTTGTGCACCCGTTCAGATGATATCCCACAAGCCTCAGCAATATCCTTAACAGTCAATCGACGATCTTCCATCACAGTTTGATGCACAAAATCGATCATTTCGTCAGTTGTAGCGATTTTCGGGCGCCCGGAACGTTCCTCGTCTAAAATGCTCGTACGACCACGTTTGTACTCGGCCACCCAATGTTTGACCGTTGTAAATGAAGGGGAGGCTTCACCGTATACAGAGTCTAACTCATCTTTTATTTCCTGAGTCTTTTTCCCTTTCAAATGAAGGAATTTTATCACTGCGCGATACTCGATTTTCTCCATTGTTGACAGACAATGTCAGCTGACAACTTTGGAGAGTTGCCATAGACAGAGTAATGATCAGAATGACTTCAAATTTTTACGGTTTACATATGTTAAGGCTATCTATCGGACGGCGAGAGAAATTTTTTTCTACAGTTACTTTATGTTGATAAGGCTGGAAACTTTTCAAATGACCCTCGTATATACAGGGTGATTCAGAACAACCCATCGTCCTTGAAAAGACGTATTCTTGACTAAATTCTAGGACGATTTTTCCTTTACAAAAATTTTGTCCGAAGCTTAATTTTCAAATTATAACGAGAAATAGTTAGCAAATTACGGGCCGCGTACGGATGGTAGGCAGGGGCGGCGCAACTTACAGTCCGCCGGCAGGCGGTACGCGGGACCGTCGCGACGATCAACTGACTACACGCGCGCATAAACATGCGTTTACATTCTCTCTCTTTTTCACACACACACACAACACACACACACACACACACACACGCACGCACGCACGCACGCATGCACGCACGCAATATTTTACCTTTGAAAGATTTGTCGACTTCTCGAAAAAGNTGGATTAATTCTCATGTGATTTCCACGTAATGAGTGTTTATTTAAT